GGATGAGGTGGTGCGGCAAAATCATCCTTAGTTTAGAACCACTAGATTGAAGGGATGGCAGTGTCATGAAGTGAGAACCTACAAGTGACCGGTTATACCCTCACTTATCCACAAGAGGTCTCCCTAGACCCCATTATGGTTCTAATCTGGAAAACACTGGTCTGTGGCCACTACCAAATAGGTTGTGGTGACTTGGTGGGAGGTGACAGCAAAGGTGTACAAAGGAAAGCATTTGATCAATTTCCAGTGCAGAAGAATTCCAAATAAATTATCCGGCTATTCCACTCTAAAGGAGGGGAGCATAACTCCCCTCCATGTGGGCTGTTCCTAGTGACTTCCCACCAAAAAGTAGTCTGGAAAGCGGAGTGGGGAGTAGCTACAGTGGAGAAACCTAACATGACCTGATCCAGCTGATTGAGGCCAACATCAACACAGATAAATTATATAGAGAGCACATACCCTTAACATAATGTGATGAAAATGACACCTTACCTCTGTGATTCTCCTCCCCAAACTCCATAACCCCAGTCTAATTCCAGCCTTTGTAATTCCAGTAGATGGGAATCCTACAAATGCCTAACCAGAACGCCTCAAAACTGTCAAGATCATTAAAAATAATAAGGAAAGTCTGAGAAACTGTCAAGAGGAGCTTGGAGACATGACAACTAAATGTAGAGTGGTATCCTGGATGAAGTTCTAAAACAAAAAAGGATGTTAGGTCAAAATTAGGAAATCTGAATAATTATGGACTTAATAATAAAGTATCAATATTGGTTCATTAATTATAACAGGTGTTCCATATAAATATAAAATGCTAATAATAGGGGAAACTGCATGCAGAGGCGGGCAGGATCATACGGGAACTCTGCTTAATTTTTCTATAAATCTAAAATTGCTCTAAAAAATTAGATCTATTAATTTTTAAAAAGCATATGATCAAGCACTGCCTTGGTAAATAAAGAAGATTTTAAAATGGTGGCTTTAGTAGGATTCTGATTTCTGATCTAACTGAAATCATTTGGTGACTGTAATGAGAAATGTCACCATCCCAAACCAATCCAGCGCTTCACTTTACGTGTATCAGCAAAGAAAGGCAAAGATTGATACTGAAGAAAACTTGTAATGGACTAAAGCCCAACTACTTTAAATAATTCTTAGAGATTATTTCATTCTAACAAGTAGGTAAATGTGGCATGATCACATAATGAGAATATCCACTATTATTATCTCGTTGATACTCCTTGGAAGGTGGTGCTGTATTTTAGTTTTATATTCAGATGAGAAAAATTGAATCTCAGAAAGATCATATATGTGCCTAAGAGCATAGAGCTAGTAAGTGTCAAAACTAAAATTTAAATTTTATGACTGATTTTAAAATCTTTGCTTTTAATTACTGTGCAATATTTTCTCCCTATAGTGACAGCTGTGGTTATTCACTGTCACTGTAGAGTATGTATTATGTAATTAAAAGAATGCTGAACAAAAACCAGAAGTCTGGACCCTCAGTTGGCTTCGGATATCAATTTCCTTATCAGAAAACTGTGGATAATAATACCTGTCCTGCTTACTTCACTGGGTTATTTTAAGAGTCAAATAAAAGAATATATGTGAAAATGTCTAGCAACTTGAAACATGTCATTGTATTATTAACACATTTTTACTTTTGCAGCTTTACGTAAATATACCTGTGAGCTAATTGCAAAATGGAATGTGTGGAGATGCTTGAGGGAGCTTCAGATCCGAAGGCTTACGAGAGAATTGTGCCAGCTTCAAATCCTCTCTTTGAATACTAGATCCCAAGTCTGTGGCCTTCATTACTGACTGCACTTATCACCTGGGGAGCTTTTAAAGGCATCCGTGCCCAGGTTCCACCACAAACCAATTAAATCACACTTGCTAGGAGTGGGACACGGGCATCGGGCATCGTTATGTTTCAAAAGCTCTCCAGATGATTCTGGTGTGCAACTAAGGCTGAGAACGGCTGTTCTAAGTGATCTAATGTCAGCCCAATTCCATGGGGCCCACCAGACCCTTCCTGCATAGGCCGTTCCCCACTCTTAGAAATTGCTGGAGCTGGAACATTGCCATCAGGCAGTGAGGCTAAAAAAAAAGTCAGCTCAGCCAAGCTGCTAGAATAGCTGATGATACTGTCATTTGACTGAAGAAAGCTTTATTCAAAGAAGGAAGAGTCGAGTCATGGGAGGGAAAGTGCTACAGAGGGCAGCTATGTAATAATTATTCAGCACTCTGCCACAGTAGTAGGCCAAGATAGCAGAGAGACTTCTCTCAGCTTTTGTAAACTTGGCTCCGCAGGTCAGTTTATCTTGGCTATCATGTTGTCTGAAGAGCCTTTGTTGAAAGCCTGGAGCTTGGTGCCTGGCAGACCAAAGCAACAATCAGCTTACAAATTAATGAATTAACACCTCAAAAACTGAGGCCAGAGAAAAAATAACTGTTGAGCAAGAATAACATTAGGTGTAATACAGAATTAATATAATTCAGAGCTATAAACTTCCTTATATTAGAAACAAGGCCCAAGTTTCTCTATGTATAGCTTCTCAGGGTCTTCAGTGGAAGAATTTAAGTTACAGCACTGCGTGGAGAGCATACCGAAAGAGACACGTCACCTGGGAAAACTGAGGGCCCCTGTCCTCGAGGGTCTGGCCATTTCCTTGACAAACCCAGGCACTCATTTTTGTCATAACACGCAGAGGTGAGCAGTCTCTTGGGGACAGACCCATATTAAGCAAGCACCCAGGAGTCCAATCCTGAAGTATGCAATGACCAGACACTGGATGGCACATTCTCTACCTGTAAGAAAGGTAACAACGTGGGGAGCCACATTTGAACCATAAATGGTATTTGAAAATCAAGAATATAATTAACAAATGAGTCGAGTGATCTTAAAAGATGATATCAGCAAGCTACAGTAGCTGGATTCATTCAGTCTCTCTGCAGTCTCTGGGGCACAGTCTGTCTGGATAACATGGGAGAGTCACTGACAAATTCTTGCTTTTTGGGAGTCACTTTTTCAAACCAGGAGTCTCCAAACTTTTCTGATTGTGTGTTCTTAACAGCAAAAATTTGTAAATCCATTTTTAAAAACCATCTGTGGATAATTTTGAATATTTTTGGTATCATCTTCTTGTCAGAACTGACAAGAAGGTTACTGCTTTTACTGAGTAATGTGGCTGACAGCTTATATTCCAGGTAAGAGAAATGTCAGCCCCATCATTTTCTTGTTTTCTTGTGCTTTTAGTTTTTAGTATTATCTTTAATTCGTGGTTTCTTTGCAGGAATCTTGTTAAGCCTTTTTCATTTTATAAGAATCGACTCATGAAAACTGAATACTGTATATAATATATAATCTGTATATAAAACACAATCTGTAAATCCGTTAAACAGGGCACAGTAAACTGCAATGTGTCACACACTATGCTGAGAGAAAACCAATAAGGGAGGTGCCACTTTCAACTCTCCAGTTATGGAATTCCCTTTCTTTGCTAGGATACCGCATTAATGAATGAGGCTATTCTTCAGACAATATAGCACACAATGCATTCCCTCAGAGACTAGAATATTTTACAGTTATGGATACAATAGCAACATACAACAGTTCTTGTTTAGAAATTACGCCTTAGTAATCCCTAAGTGGATATGGGCAGCCCTAAATCTCTCTGCTGACTAGATGAGACTTTTGGGTATGTGTTCAATTTCTTCTGTCATATTTCGGTTCTCCTTACTGTTGTTATTCCCTGAGGAGAACTTTATCTAAAGTTTTGGGAGTGCTTAAGAACGACACTGCTCTACATGGAACCACAAAGTGAGTATGAAGGAGCCCTAGTTATTATCACATTTTACTCTTAGGAGAATGGTTTTATTTAAACTCAGAAGCAAAACAGCTAAAAGCAGAGCTAATTCGGATGAAGGGACCAGAACGAACAAGCCTCACTCCTCTCTCTTCAGGAACTTCACCCACAGGGCTTCCTATTCCTGGGAACACAGACTTCCGCTGTTTGAAAATTGCTGCTCTAGAACATTTAAAAATGTTTTGAGATGGAATTTTGTTATAACTAGTGCTGTGCTATAGGTAAGTCTGCGGGAACTAGAGACAAAGGAGATGCCATGCATGGTTCGTCTGCAATGAATTTATTTACAAAAGGAAGTATTCTGATCTATTTTATTTATTCCAAAGATGTTATAGTGTAGAATTTTAGAGTTTGGACTCTATAGTCAAACAGCGTTGGTTGTTCTTTTTTATTTCCACCATAGAAAATTTTATTTTATTTTAATAGATAATGCATACGCCTGATACTAAGTGGCAAGGTACCCTCCCATTCCTAACCCCCACTCTCCTAATTCTCCTCCCCAGCAGCAACCAGTTCCAGCTGTTATGCATTCTCCTAGAGAGAGTAAAGACATATTCAAGCATACTGGTGTATACGCTACATGTAAAGATATATTTTTAAAAACCAATGGGAAAAAAATGGTGGACTATACTTTGTATAACTGTTCTGCGCCATGCTTTATTTTCCCACTTAATTTTTGGACTTTATTCACTCTTCATTCATTCATTTGACATATTTATTGAGCACTAATATTGTTCTTTACTCTTCGTGATAGGGTTATAAATCCTCCTCTCTGCCATGTGACTTTGGAGACTCTTCCAGTAAAGGAGGTATAGTTTACTTCTCTTCCCTCTCGACTTTGGCCTTGGCTGTATGATTTTCTTTGACAGATGGATTGTCAGTAGAAGTGACAGTGTTTCATTCTAAGTAGAGGCTTTAAGAGGCATCATATATTTTTATGTACTTCTTTTACATCAGTGGTCTCTAAATGAGAAGCTACTGGAAGTTGACCTAAACCCACCTGTGACCCTCAGCCTAGAGCTGCCCTATATATCCATGAAGGAAAAATTAATGTTTTTTTTTGGTGTGTGTAATCCACCAATATTTTAAGGTTGTTTGTTATCACAGCCAGAAATAAACTAAGACTACTATGTGTCCAGGCACTATTATAGGTGCTTAGTTTCATTAGGGAACCAAACTTAGATATTTGCCCTTGTGGAGCATCTATGTATAGACCTACCTCTTTTTAATAGTTGTATAGTATTCCTTTGTATAGAGGCATTGTAATTTATTCAACCAGTCCTTTATTAATGGACATAGGTCATTTCAAAGTGTTAGTCTCAAAAGATGAAAAGTATATTTCCAATATAAATGCATAGAATGCACATATTAACGTTTTATTTAATTCATTAATGAAGAAATCTCCCAGGATGACAAAAGTTGGATCAAAAGGGAATATAAAAGTTGAAAATTGTAAAGTCAGTGGATAAAAAGAAATTCTAAAATAAAATTGCTAATTTTGACACGAAACTGGGTAATGTCCTACAGAATAAAAATAATAACTTCTGAAGTTCTCTTGTATTGGACAGAAAAAATAGTCATCCCCCATTATCCGTTTTAGAGAGTTGTAAAATGTCTGGGTTTTAATCAACTGCAGATTTACATTCCCCAAAGAGTTAGAGTTTTTGCTAATACTAACAATGCTACAATATCCTTTGATATCACCTTATGCACGTGTGAGTATATCTTAAGGATATATTTTTAGAAGTAAAATTTCTGAGTATATGAATTTCTAATTTTGAGAGAAGTTACCAAATTGCCCTTTATAGAAATTGTACTAATTTACCTTACTCTGGACAACATATGAGTGGCTATTTTTTACATCTTCTTCAATAAAATTTTATTGAATTCTTTACTACTTGCCAATCTGATAAGATAAAAATAGCACCTCACTGTAGTTTTAATTTACATTTTTTCTTATTATAAGTATCATTAAATATTTTTTTAATATCTTTACAAGTTATTTCTATTTCCTCTACTACGAATTATTACTTCATATCTTTTACCTTTAGGAAAGTTAGCCTCTAGTCTATCATATGTGTCCCAAATATTTTGTTAACACAGTTTCAGACATAATTCTAATCCTAGCTCTACTATTCACTAGTTGCGTGACCCTGGGAAAATTACTTAACCTTTCTGAGTCTAAGTTTAACTTGTCTGTAAAATAGGGAGAATAATAATATAATCCTCAACCCCATATCTAAAACCCTGGGATAGATGAATTTTAGATTCTAGTATCTTTTAGTACATATACTGTATACTATATAAAATCCTAAGAACTATGAGCTCTTTCAAAAATTAATGTTTATTACTACATGGGAGTAATAAAGCCTATGAATGATGTCATACCTATTGAAGTTTGCCATCAAATTAACTATGTCAAACTTTTTCCTTTCTTTAGGAAAGTGGAGCATAGGAAAAGCTTCTATGGTTTATTATATCTGTTTGTTGAAAGTAAAAAATTGTGCAGAAGAGAGACATGCTCAACAGTATTGCAACCGATTGTGAGATACAACCTATTGATTAGGTAATATTGAGACTAGCCCACATGGGATGATTGAAAATGAAAAAATACTCAACGAGAGCAATATTAGTAGCTTGTGAAAATAAAGGAAGGAAAATGTAATTGCTAGTATCCTATCAAATATTTTTTACCCTGCAGATTTTAATTATTCAATACTATAATAATAATTATTATTCCATATGAGTGTTCTGAAGCTTACTTTTGATTTTCAGAGCTTTTTAGATTTGGGGACTGTGGTTAAGGTATGTAGACCTATCCTATCTTGCTCATAAGGTTGTTATGAAGTTTGGATTAAATTAAGCAACGCATGTAAAGTATATCAGCTCCTAGAACATAGGAAGAACCAAGTAAATATTATTGTTACTGTTGTCATTTTTCAGATGGAAGTGTTAAGCCCTTACAACTCTTGTTTCCAGCCCCTTTAGCTCAGCACAGGGTTTTGCTTTGTGGGGTGGTTTGATGTTCGAATGAGTTTTTTGTAAAGATGACTGAAATATTTGAAGAGAAGAGGAGAGAAGCATTTTTCTCTTTGATGGTGTAGAAGAAAGAGAACAAATGGGCTTGGAAGCCAGAGTTCAAATTCCATAGGATCAGCTTCCTTAAAAAGTAGGGAAAAATACCTATCTTACAAGTTGCTTTGAGGATTAAATATAACTAGATAGAATAGAAACTGCTCTGTATACAATATGTGCTCAATAAATGACAGCAGCTATTTTGTTTGGCTATGTTTGGGAAGGCTGAGTTACAACCCTTACCCATTTACAGTCTGAAAAGCTCATAATCAGCCACTTTCATGATTGAAAATGAGGGACTTGGACAAGGATCAGAGAAAGCATTTATTGTACACAAAGAAACAAAGCACTGTTACCATGATCTGTCTGCAGGAAGATGACACCAGCCCCTCAGCTATGATGTAATGTCACGTGGGGGAGATGGAAGGAGGGGGTACAGTGAGGCCTTCGAGGAACAACTCCCCCTCTCCACACAGGCAAAGGGAAAGTTTTCCCAAGTGGCATGAGAGCCTGCAGCCTTTGGCCTTCAGGAAGTTCTCAATGTACTGCGATTTAAAATGTAGGTTTCCCCTTTTATTATAGAATATCCTGAAGCTTTAGGTTTAATGTTGTCACACTAAGAAGTAAGACTGTTATCTGTTGATCAGAGTACCTTGAGGACAGACCCTATCCGTTTCTGCTTAAATGCCTACTGGATTCAGCTAAGCTATAAAATTTGAGGGAGTGCCTACCATGTGCCAGGTGCCGAAAGTACAAAGACGATCTGATAAGTTTCCATCCCAGAAGGGACTGGTAGAGAGGATGGATAACTGATAACTTAATAGGGAGTGCAGAGTGTTGAGTGACGTAATAGAGTTATGAATAAGTGCTATAGATGGTACTGAGAAAAATTAATTTTTATAAGAGAGGTTACAGGAAACGCCTCTAAAGAAGTAGAATTCGATCTGATCTTTGGACTGAGCCATCAAGCAAAAGGCTTTGAGATGGATTAAGGGGAGGAAAGCACAGAGAGGGAGGGAAGGGGGATAAAGGGGAAAAAAACATCTCAAGTGAAAGAACAGCAGGGACAAGGATGTGAGGCAGTAGGCATGTTCATTCATTTGTTCAGTTATTTAGTCAACAAACATAAATATTGGTTCAGTGCCAGACACTATTCTTGGCCCTGGGGATACAACAGAAAGCAAGATAAAGTCTCTGATGCTCTCATGGAATTTACACTTTAGAGCTGGATGGGACTGAAAACAAATAAATAAATGAACAAGGTAATTTCAGAGAGCAGTATGTGTTATGAAGAAAATAAGCTGGGAGAAGACGAGATAGAGAGTAGAGGTGGGTAGGCATGTAAGTTTGGGTTGTCAGAGGGATGCTCTCTGGAGGAGGCATTTGACCTGAGAACCTAGTGGCAAGGAGGTAACCTTCTGGAGGCAAAGTGTTCCAGGTGGGGGAACAGCAAATACATACACTATCACAGGACTAGGCCTGGTATATTTGAGGAAACTTTCTGTGACCAGCTTGACTGGAGCAGCATGAACAAAGGAGTGATGAGAGAAGACCAGAGCAGGGCAGGCGTGGTTAGTAGGGACTTGTGGCCATGGTAAGGAGGTTGTCTTGAAGAAGTACCATCTGGCTGCTGTGTAGAGAATGCATTAGAAGCAGGGAGATCAATTGGGAGGCTGTCACTTACTCTAGGCAGGAGATGTTGGTGGCTTCGACCAGGGTGATAGCAGCAGAGACAGACATGTTCAGAGCAAATATATATATTTTGAAGTAGAGCTGACAGGACCTGCTGATGGATTGGTGTAGTGGTGAGGGAAAGGAAGATGTAATCATATCAAATGCTATGAGAGGTTGAAGAAAGTGAGTATATAAAAGTGACCTTGGTGATGGTAGTAGTGACATCTATGTGGGAACAGTTGGAACATGAGATTGGAGAGAAGAGAATGTTGGGAAGGGAAGGCTGTGAAAGCTTTGGGAATGAATGAATCTGCTCTCACACACAGGAGGCAGGCGTTCTGGACCACTGACAAAGCCAGGCTGATAATCTGTTTGTGAGACCAGGAATCTCAAATTTTTACCGCCAATGGTTTTTTAAAAAAGAGCCCTTTGGCTAAAACTGAACAAATTTGTTTACACCTCTCCATCTCTTTCTTTGTGGGACAGGATAAATATCTGCCTATTCTTACCCACTCTCCCTCCATTGGCTTCAGCTTCTCTCCTCTCAGTGGATTGATTCTTCAGACTATACCCAAGTCAAGCAGGAAATTCTTCACATGATAGGTCCTGAGTAAATGTGAATGAATGGGGCAATCAGAGGTGCTTGCTTTCAGAGAAGAGAAGTTGCTTTTACTACTTTGTTCTACTCCTCCCTCTTGGCTTAACAACTCACAGTACTCAGGTCTTTTGATTGGGAGGAGGCACGATCAGGTTTATTATATATATTTTGTTTGTTGGCTGGCTGGCTCATTCTATTGTCTTGGTCTTACAGTCTGATTGCCTCTTCTATTCCCCTGCATACACACAGCAGACCTGCAGGGGTCCTCAGATCTCCCTCTGAACCACTGCACCAGACTTGTCCTCCTTAGCTAACATTATCTTTTATTTAAACAGAAACAGTAGCCACCAGTCTCGTTACATAACATACCAATATCCTAGGGTGTTAAACTAATGTAATATCTACTAATGGGGAGTGGAAATCTGTCAACACAAATATTCGCTAGGAGAATATTGCTGAACCCTTGTAACAGGTTTGACTTTCTGGCCCTACTTAAAATTTTGGAGCTGAAAGGGACTTTAGAGATCATCCTATTTCAGTCATCTTCCTTTTAAACTGAAAATCAAGGACCAGAGAGACAAAGACATTTATTTGCCCCAGAGGCAGATCAAGGACTAGAAATCAAGCTCTTGATAATCTGAAAAATCCGTCACATCTTCTTAGATTAAGGATTAACTGTTAAACCTTTCTTGTTCACGATTCTTTCTTGTTCAAAAACCTTTTTTTGTTGTATTAGATTTTCAAAGTTTGTCTGTTGTGCACGGACATGGTGCTCCTCCCTTCACTGAAACTGCAAATTTGAAACTGATAGATGTGTAGGATACTGACTTATTTGATGTACTTTTGCTGTTTTTACTAACATTTTACTAATATTTGGACTGGGTTCATATCCAACCAGGCCATGTATATTAAATGAATACATTTTTAATCCATTGTATAATAACTAAATCAAATACATTTTAAAGACAGTTGGGTGGAGTTTGAGCCACTGGGGGTCCACCCCAATACCATTCCGTTTCTGGTCTCTGAGGAATTTCAGGAACCTCAGCGGCCAAGTGAAAAGGCTGGGCTGCTCTCTTCCCCTGACCAATGCCAGCATTCTTTCTCCAACTGACCTGTTTTCCTGCTGGGAGACTGCCCCACTCCACCCACCTGGTGCCTCCCTGCGTTTCCTGACTGCCCTGGGCTTATTTTTTAACCTTTGGTTCCTTGAAAAGCACCACCCCACTGACCCAGAATGCGGGCTCCTCCCCTCTGGTCACTGACCGACCTACTCTCCTGGGCTTACTTACCATTCTCATCTCCCTCTAAAAGCCTGGAAAATCAGCAGCAATTGGGGGCCGAGCGCCGTCCATTTCTCCCTTAGGCCTCTTTTCTACTTTTCACCGAAATTACTAGCAGAGCAGAGAGAAGAGGGGAAATGCCTTGCTTCTGATCGGAGCCTGGCTGGGCCAGGTCGGTCTGGCACTATATTATTAAATTCAACTGCCTCGGGTCCTGAGGGCCTCCTCAGGTAACTTAGGCTCCGGGTTAGGGATGGGTAAGGTGTAAGAAGGGAGTTACTATTTTGGCTAAGTAGAAGCTCTGGAAAGCCTCCCGCGCCTCCCTACCACATGTTCTGGGAATCCCAGTCTTGACCTGGGGACAAACCCCAAACCCAAATAAATGGTCTCCTTCCAGGAGAGGAGAGCCCACCCCCCCCCCCGCCAGTCGCCCTGCTTAGCCCGGCTCCGCTGGCTGAGCCTCGCGGGGTCAGAGCCGTCTCTCGCTGCCCTCCCCGCACCCAAGCCCAGCCAGGGCAGGGGGTGGGGGGT